GCCCAGGGTCTCCATGCCGGAGACCTCCCCAGCTTTGCTGTGGACGGGGAAGGTTGGCGATGCGTCTGCGTTCCGTGTCTGGGGATCTCGGGCGTTTGTCCGCGACTTGTCTGCGGACAAGCTGTCCCCTCGTGCTGCTCCTTGCGTCTTCCTGGGTTTCCCCCCTGACGCCCCAGGGTGGCAGTTCTACCACCCCACCTCTCGCCGTGTTCTGTCCTCCCAGGACGTCACGTTCGACGAGTCGGTCCCCTACTACCGCCTCTTCCCCTACCGCACTCCGTCCCTCCCCCCGCCACCGCTCTTCCTTGTACCAGGTCCCCCCCCGGTAGACCCCCTCCCCCCTCAGGGTCCTGCCCCTTCAGGTGTGTCCCAGGTAGACGCTGTTGAGCCTGTCGAGGTCGCTGGTGACTCTGGTGCTGACTCTGGGGGTGCTGAGCGTGTGGGTGCTACGCCTGGGGGTGCTGAGCCTGGGGGTGCTGAGCCTGGGGGTGCTGAGTCTGGGGATACTACGACTGGGGGTGCTGAGCCTGGGGGTACTACGCCTGGAGGTGCTGAGCCTGGGGGTGCTGCGTCTGGGGGTGCTGAGCCTGGGGGTACTACGCCTGGAGGTGCTGAGCCTGGGGGTGCTACGCCTGGTGGTGCTGTGCCTGGCGGTTCACCGGGTGCTCCCTCTCGCCGGGAGCCACTCTCTCCCCAGGAGCTGCGTGAGTGGTTTGCCCGGCGCTGGAGGCGAGCTGCTGGAGCTGCTGGAGCTGGAGGTGCTGCGGGTACTGGAGGTTCTGTTGCTTCTGAGGGAGCTGGTGCCACGGGTCCCGGAGGTGCTCGTACTGGGAGTACTGGAGCTGCTGGACCTGCGGGTACTTCTGGAGCTGGAGTTGCTGCGGGTGTTGGCGCGGAGGCTACTGCTGTCGGTCCTGGAGGCGGTCCTGCTGGGGGTACTACTGGTGCTGCTGGGGGTTCTGGAGCTGGAGCTGCTACTGGTGCTGGTGCTGCCCCTGGGGTTGCTGGTGCTGTCCCTCCTGTGTCTGGAGTCGCCGCGCGGCCTCGGCCGTACTTCGTTCCGCTCCTTCAGCAGGTTCTTGGTCTCCCGCCTTCTACTGGTCCTCCTCCTCCCTTAGAGTGTCCACAGCCTGTCCCGTCGCAGTTACAGTTACAGCCGGCCTCCCCACTGCCTGCTCCGTCTCCCTACACTGGTCCTACTGGAGGTCTTGCTGAGCGTCGTGAGCCTGCGTCTCGCCCTGCGTCGCCTGTCCGTGCTGCTCGCACTAGTGGTCGCGGTTCGCGTCAGCGTCCTCCTCCTGTCCCTGGCACGCACCGGATGTCTCTGCGTCCGTCCACTGCTCCTCTGCGTGCCCCTTTGCCTTCTCCTCCTGAGTCTTCTCTTCCTACTCTTGCCGACCCGGAGTCGGACTCTCTTCGCGCTGCCAGTCCTACTGTCACGCGTCTCCTTGCTACGGTTGTCACTGACCCTTCCTTTGAGTCCACTGCTGCGTCTGCTCTAGTTGCTGAGCTCGTCGACTTTGCTGCTCGCTGTCGCCTAGACTACGTCGCCAGTCTTGTTGCTGAGTCTGAGTCTGTCTGTCCTCCGTCCGTCGGGGGTGAGTGTGCCCTTGGCACGGACGTCCTTGAGGACAGGCAGGAGGAGTTCCAGTGCTTGGCCGCTGCTTCACCTCATCTCGTGTCCGTACTGCTTACCCCTGAGGGAGACCCGGATGCACTTGACATCCCGACTCCGCGCTCTTACGCGGAGGCGATAGAGGGTCCCTACTCCTCTCAGTGGCAGGCAGCTATGGACGCAGAGATGGCTTCCTGGAAGTCCACAGGCACCTACGTTGACGCTGTTCCCCCTCCTGGGGCGAACATCGTCAGTGGCATGTGGATTTTCAGGGTGAAGCGACCGCCGGGTTCTCCGCCTGTCTTCAAGGCGCGTTACGTGGCTCGTGGCTTCAGTCAGCGGCAGGGAGTTGACTACTTTCAGACCTTCTCTCCCACCCCGAAGATGACCACTCTTCGGGTACTGCTGCACGTAGCTGCTCACCGTGACTACGAGCTACACTCTCTTGACTTCAACACTGCTTTCTTGCAGGGCAGCCTGCACGAGGAGATCTGGCTGCGTCGCCCACCTGGCTTCACTGGGTCTTTTCCTCCTGGCACCCAGTGGAGCCTACGGCGGCCAGTCTACGGTCTCCGCCAGGCACCGCGTGAGTGGCACGACACACTGAGGACTACACTTGCGGCTCTTGGGTTTGCTCCCTCTACTGCCGACCCGTCGCTGTTTCTGCGCACCGACACTTCTTTGCCGCCGTTCTACATCCTCGTGTACGTCGACGACTTGGTCTTTGCCACAGCTGACACTGCTGGACTAGCCCACATGAAGTCCGAGCTGCAGAAGAGACATACGTGCACTGACCTGGGTGAACTGCGCAGCTACCTTGGCTTGCAGATCACTCGGGACAGAGCACGCCGCACCATTACCCTGACTCAGTCACACATGGTGCAGCAGGTCCTTCAGCGCTTCGGCTTCACGTACTCCTCGCCTCAGGCCACTCCTCTGCCTACTCGCCACTCGCTCTCAGCTCTGCCTTCGGATGAGTCCGTAGAGTCGAGTGGCCCGTACCCAGAGCTTGTTGGCTGCCTCATGTACCTGATGACCTGCACACGACCTGACCTTGCATACCCTCTTAGCATTCTTGCACGCTATGTTGCTCCTGGGAGACACAGACCGGAGCACATGGCTGCAGCGAAGAGGGTGTTGTGCTACTTGTGCAGTACGTCGGGCATGGGGCTTGTGCTTGGAGGGCAGAGTCCAGTGGTCCTTACTGGGCACGCAGACGCTTCTTGGGCTGACGACCAGGCTACGCAGCGGTCGTCACAGGGTTACACCTTCAGCCTTGGTTCCGGCTCTGTTTCGTGGCGGGCTACTCGCTCGTCTTCTGTTCTTGGCTCCAGTTGTGAGGCTGAGATCTACGCAGGAGCCATGGCTGCACAGGAGCTTCGCTGGCTCACCTACCTGCTGACTGACCTCGGAGAGTTGCCTCGTTCTCCTCCAGTGCTGTACGTAGACAACAAGGCCATGCTGGCCTTGTGTCGGGAGCAGCGACTGGAGCACAGAACGAAGCACATTGCTCTCCGCTACTTTCTTGCTCGTGAGCTGCAGCAGCGTGGTCAGCTGCGTCTTGCGTACGTGGCCTCTGAGGCCAACACTGCTGATATCTTCACCAAGGCACTTGCGCCTTGTGACCATCAGCGCTTCTGTACTCAGCTGGGCCTTGTGCCTACCTTGCCTCACTTGCTCACCTCTTGACCTTGCTTGTACTGTTACATATATATATACCTGCTCTTATTTGTCTAGCCTTTTTTATATATATGTGTACTCCTGCTTGTGAACTGGCCTTGTGGCCTTGAACTTGTGCTCGGAATGTGTGGTGACTTTGTGATCCACCCTGAGCTTGTTTTGCTTTGCTTTGCTTGACTGGTCTTGTGACCCCTTGTTCTCCCCCACTTTGCCTATGGGGGTGTGTCAGATTTATACGACATAGCTACTGTAGGCTATAGTGGGGTAGCACATATGGGGTACAGTTTTCTAGGGTTTGCTTCTTGTACCCAACTTTCACTTAGTCATTTCATTCCTCGTTTCTTCTCAGCGCATGAATCCATATAGGCGTACTAAAAAGCATTGAACAACCTCAATAATATTGCATATTCAGGTGGCTCGTGTTCAAATGCACCTATCACAGCATTTTCAGCTTGGTTCGTGCTTAAAGAAAAGTTCGGCGCCTATGATTCCGGCTATTCGTGCTGACAAATGCTTAGAATGCGCATGAATCATATAGGCGTAGGGAAATGCATTGAACAATCTAAATGTTATTGCATATTCGGGTGGCTCATGTTCAAATACACATATCACAACATTTTCAGCTTGGTTCTTGCTCAAAGATGGTTTGGCGCCTTTGATTCCGGTTTTTTTTGCCGACAAATGCTTAGAATGCGCTTGAATCCCTCGACCGATGTAAAAAAATAGCGAATCAGCCGGCGGTTTTGTGCGCACGCTCGTGCTCGCCACACCCTCTCCCACCTTGTATGTGGTCTCGGCTCCAAACGCGCACAAACGTGCCGCCCCCACCCCTTTGAACGGGCTCATACTGGGCATTCCGGGCCATTTCTGGGGCAAAACGCGAATGCGTCCGGACCGGTGTAGAAAATTTGCGAATCAGCCGGCTGTTTTTGCGCACGCTCGTGCTCGCCACACCCCTTCCCACCTTGTATGTGGTTTCGGCTACGTATTCGTCTTCCGAGGGGTCGCCGTCTCCTTATCAAGCCAGCGCATCAAGTGCGCGGAATCTCGCCAGGCAATCCCTCAACATTCCCGTGATTGCCCATGTGACTCTAGATCAACGGCCCACATGAATGTTCACATTCACCGCAGCCTCCGAGCTGTTCACCTTCCGTGCTACTCTAGTTGACATGGGGTTTAGATCCGTATCTTGCTCTCAATCACCAGCATCCATCTCAGCCGCACGTTTCTGTCAGGGATAACATCGTTTGATCCAAGCCCTTCATTCAACGTGCCCTGGTTGCTGCCGCAGAGTCAGAGACTCAGAGCAGTTGGGGAGGACAGGACAAGACTAGTAGGGGGTCAAAATGGGGAATAGATACTGTACGGGAAATAAGCACAGCATTCAGATAGGCATAATCCTCGCTGTTGTTGAGGTGGAGCACACTACCGTATAATTGAGGTGGAGGTCCAGTTTCCCAACGATTGTGATCTGCACTTCAACTATAAGCTGCACGGTACCGACGGTACCGTAGCATGTTTCCAGAAGTTTCAATACCGTAGTACATCAGTAGCAACTCTGCTATTATGATTCCAAAGATTGCCTTGCCTAGCTGCCTTTGCCATCTAGCAGTGTTCCATTCACAGTGCTAGAAAACGTCTGTACGGTAGGTACGCGCTTGGAATCTCCTCTGTAGTTATCGCATCAAGCACCATCCCAATCCCATCAAGCACCATCCCTGACAGCCTTGACCCACGCAACCTCCAGTCTAAACGGGCCCTCGCCATGCACTGGAAACGCGTCAGACTCCACAGCAGCATCAGGACAAAAATCACCGCCCCCCGCAACAGTATCATCACCAGATGTGGCTTCAGCAATGTGAGGAGGGTGTGTGAGCCGGGCAGTGGCACTGAGATGCGGAGAGTGCATGGGAGGGGTGCTGACGTTGACTGATATCCCCATTCCCACCACCCTCCTCGCATTCATCTGCATCCCTCCACCACCACTGCCCCCTCCCCCCTCTCTTCCTCTCTCTCTCCCCCCGCCGCCGCCCACCACCCTGCCTTTCCATGTAAGGCGGTAGCTGGCAAGGGGAATCTGGGGAGAAGGGGCGGAGGGGAGCGGGGGTGAAGTGGGGAATGATCATTGGTTATGGGAGGGAGGTTGAGGTGGTGGAGAGGAGTGGGGAGGGGTGCTGAAGTTGACTAATAGACCCATGCCCGCCACCCTCCTCGCATTCATCTGCATATCACCACCACCACTGCTGCTCCCCTCTCCCCTTCCGCCTTGCTCTCGCCCCCCACCGCTGCCCACCACCCTGCCCTTCCATGTAAGGCGGTAACTAGCCAGGGGAAAGGAGGGAGAGGGGAGAGGAAAGGATGGAAAGAGGGGGAAGGAGAGAAAAATGCTATGCATTACCCCACCACCCTGCCCTTCCATGTAAGGCGGTAACTGGCAAGGAGGGTGAAGGGAAGAGGGGGATGGATAGAAATACCTGACGCCCTACCCCATCAACCTGTCTTTCCAGGTCAGGAGCGGAGGGGAGGAGGGGGAGGGAAGGGGGGAGGGGGAAACGAAACATCATGAATCAGGGGAGGAAGGCGGGAGAGAGAGAAGAGGTTGATTGAGCAGCCCCCTTGACGTTCTCCTCGCCACCCTCACCTTCCACGTCAGGTGTTCTCCTCACTGCCTGCCCTTGAAATGCGTGTAAGAAACTACAGCCCTCTGCGCGGGGAGCGATGGGATCCTGACTATCACCTACACCACTCTTCACCCCTTCTCCTCTCACCTGCACCACTCCCCACCACCCTCGAGGCGAGGGCAGGAACACCTGCCATGTGTTCTCCTCACTGCCCGCTGGCTGAGATGTGTGGAGTGGGGAGACGAGACTACAGCCTCTCATTTGCACCACCCTTCACCCCTTTATTCTCACCTGCACCACTCCCCAGCGCCCTCGTGGCGAGGGCAGGAACGCCTGCCACGTGTTCTCCTCGCTGCCTGCTGGCCCGCCCACCCACCCCTCCGTGCGTAACTGATAGGGAGAGGGGAGAAAGTAGGGCAGGAGAAGGGAGGAGAAGGGAGGAGCGGGAAGGAGAGCGGCGGGTGGTGAGGTGCAGATAGAGAGCTGTAGGGTCGCAACACCCCCACCCTGCCATGTGTTCTCCTCACTGCCTGCTGGCCCCCCCACCCCTCTGTGCGCAGCTGAAAGGGAGGGGGGCGATGACAACAGGAGAAAGAAGGGGAGAGGAAGAGGGAAAGAGAGAGCACGTAAGAGTAATTCTAAGCATTCACCCAATCTACAAAAGAAAACACCCTGTAAGGAGGCACCCACCCAATCTAAAAGGCATGAAAAGCTGACAGAGAGGAAAGAAGCGAAGAAGAGGGCAGGGGAGAGGAGAGGGGAAGAGAGAGCAAGCGGGAGGAGAGACAGAGAGAGGTGCAAGGTGGCATCCACCCCACGCCCAGTTTTGAGGTGCAAGGTGGCATCCACCCCACGCCCAGTTTTGAGGTGCAAGGTGGCATCCACCCCACGCCCAGTTTTGAGGTGCAAGGTGACATCCACCCCACGCCCAGTTTTGAGGTGCAAGGTGGCATCCACCCCACGCCCAGTTTTGAGGTGCAAGGTGGCATCCACCCCACGCCCAGTTTTGAGGTGCAAGGTGGCATCCACCCCACGCCCAGTTTTGAGGTGCAAGGTGGCATCCACCCCACGCCCAGTTTTGAGGTGCAAGGTGGCATCCACCCCACGCCCAGTTTTGAGGTGCAAGGTGGCATCCACCCCACGCCCAGTTTTGAGGTGCAAGGTGGCATCCACCCCACGCCCAGTTTTGAGGTGCAAGGTGGCATCCACCCCACGCCCAGTTTTGAGGTGCAAGGTGGCATCCACCCCACGCCCAGTTTTGAGGTGCAAGGTGGCATCCACCCCACGCCCAGTTTTGAGGTGCAAGGTGGCATCCACCCCACGCCCAGTTTTGAGGTGCAAGGTGGCATCCACCCCACGCCCAGTTTTGAGGTGCAAGGTGGCATCCACCCCACACCCAGTTTTGAGGTGCAAGGTGGCATCCACCCCACGCCCATTTTTGAGGTGCAAGGTGGCATCCACCCCACGCCCAGTTTTGAGGTGCAAGGTGGCATCCACCCCACGCCCAGTTTTGAGGTGCAAGGTGGCATCCACCCCACGCCCAGTTTTGAGGTGCAAGGTGGCATCCACCCCACGCCCAGTTTTGAGGTGCAAGGTGGCATCCACCCCACGCCCAGTTTTGAGGTGCAAGGTGGCATCCACCCCACGCCCAGTTTTGAGGTGCAAGGTGGCATCCACCCCACGCCCAGTTTTGAGGTGCAAGGTGGCATCCACCCCACGCCCAGTTTTGAGGTGCAAGGTGGCATCCACCCCACGCCCAGTTTTGAGGTGCAAGGTGGCATCCACCCCACGCCCAGTTTTGAGGTGCAAGGTGGCATCCACCCCACGCCCAGTTTTGAGGTGCAAGGTGGCATCCACCCCACGCCCAGTTTTGAGGTGCAAGGTGGCATCCACCCCACGCCCAGTTTTGAGGTGCAAGGTGGCATCCACCCCACGCCCAGTTTTGAGGTGCAAGGTGGCATCCACCCCACGCCCAGTTTTGAGGTGCAAGGTGGCATCCACCCCACGCCCAGTTTTGAGGTGCAAGGTGGCATCCACCCCACGCCCAGTTTTGAGGTGCAAGGTGGCATCCACCCCACGCCCAGTTTTGAGGTGCAAGGTGGCATCCACCCCACACCCAGTTTTGAGGTGCAAGGTGGCATCCACCCCACGCCCAGTTTTGAGGTGCAAGGTGGCATCCACCCCACGCCCAGTTTTGAGGTGCAAGGTGGCATCCACCCCACGCCCAGTTTTGAGGTGCAAGGTGGCATCCACCCCACGCCCAGTTTTGAGGTGCAAGGTGGCATCCACCCCACGCCCAGTTTTGAGGTGCAAGGTGGCATCCACCCCACACCCAGTTTTGAGGTGCAAGGTGGCATCCACCCCACGCCCAGTTTTGAGGTGCAAGGTGGCATCCACCCCACGCCCAGTTTTGAGGTGCAAGGTGGCATCCACCCCACGCCCAGTTTTGAGGTGCAAGGTGGCATCCACCCCACGCCCAGTTTTGAGGTGCAAGGTGGCATCCACCCCACGCCCAGTTTTGAGGTGCAAGGTGGCATCCACCCCACGCCCAGTTTTGAGGTGCAAGGTGGCATCCACCCCACGCCCAGTTTTGAGGTGCAAGGTGGCATCCACCCCACGCCCAGTTTTGAGGTGCAAGGTGGCATCCACCCCACGCCCAGTTTTGAGGTGCAAGGTGGCATCCACCCCACGCCCACCCACCCCTCTGTGCGCAGTTGACAGAGAGGGGAGAAAACGGAGGGGAGACGAGAGTGGGATGTGTGAGAGAGTGAAAAACGCGGGAAGGGGGGAGTAATCGGTACCACACACAAGAGGACAGCAGGGCAGAGGGATGCAGAGTGGTGCAGTGCAGTATAAGGATGAGAGGGGGGAGGGCATACTGGGGGAGGTAGGAGCTACTGGGTAAGAAGGGAGCGCGGCAAGGGGAGGGGGAGCGGGAGGGGGAGGGGGGGGTGGAGGGGGAGGGGGGGGGGGAAGGGGAGGGAAAGGGGTAGGGTAGGGCAAGGGGGAGGAGGAGGGGGAGGGCGTACGGTGGAGAGGTAGGTGCGGCCGTCACCCCGCACAAGCAGGTGCAGCGAGGAGAAGGCGTCCAGGTCGTGGCGGCACGCTGCATGCGCCTGAGGGGAGCGGGGAGGAAGGGGGGGGCAGGGGCGCGGGGAATACTTGGTGGAGAGAAGCAAGAGGTCGCCACCACACACGAGCAGCAGTAGCGAGGAGAAGGCATCCAGGTCATGGCGGCACTCTGCATGCCCCTGAGAGGGGCGGAGCGGGTGGGTGGAAGTGGGCACACACGGGTGGGATAGGTGGTGGGGAGAAGAGAGAGGGTGAGACCATGGCACGAGCAGGTGCAGCGAGGAGAAGGCGTCCAGGTCATGGCGGCATTCTGCATGCGCCTGAGAGGGGGGGTTGGGGGAACGGTGGGGGGGGAGAATAGGTAGTGGAGAGAAGGAGCAGCGTGAGATCATCATGACATGAGGAGCAGCAGCATCGAGGAGAAGGCGTCTGGGTGGAGGCGGCACACTGCATGCGCCTGGCATAGAAGGTGAGGAGGCGGAAGGAAGTGGGAGAGGGGGGGGTAAGTGGAGGAGAGAAGCAAGAGAGTGAGATGATGGCACGGGCAGAGGCAGAGGCAGCAGCAGCGGGGAGAAGGCCTCCAGGCTGCTCGTGCTGCTCGTGGCGGCAGGCTGCATGCGCCAGAGAGAGAAGGTGGGGAGGCCCTGGGAACCCGAGCGGAGAGGTGGGGCGAGGAGAGGGCATTGATGCGGTGCTGGGTGGTGGGAGCAGGTGACGCAGTGGTGGGCGGAGGCAACGGTGGGAACGCAAATGAGCAGGTGGGTTGCATGCGAACCTTTTTTCTCCTTCATGTTTTTGGGTTTCCCCTCCAGAATACATATTTTTTCTTCATCTTCCTCCGAAACGCGTTTCAATGTACGCGTTTCTTCATCTTAATCGAATGGCTCACCTCGATCGTTCGAATGCCGGCAAAGCCACCCTTGAGCAGCCGCCCTGCCCCTCCCCGCCCTCCGCCTTCCACGCCCTCCCCCTGCTCCTTCCCCTGCACGCGTCGGGACAAGCTGCCTGCGAACACGGCTGTGGAGGCAGGGGAGAGGCACACGGGGCACACGGGGAAGATGAGCACATTGGAACCCCGAGAGCCTTGGAAACCCCGAGAGCCTTGGAAACCCCGAGAGCCTTGGAAACCCCGAGAGCCTTGGAAACCCCGAGAGCCTTGGAAACCCCGAGAGCCTTGGAAACCCCGAGAGCCTTGGAAACCCCGAGAGCCTTGGAAACCCCGAGAGCCTTGGAAACCCCGAGAGCCTTGGAAACCCCGAGAGCCTTGGAAACCCCGAGAGCCTTGGAAACCCCGAGAACCTTGGAAACCCCGAGAGCCTTGGAAACCAGAGAGCCTTGGAAATCCGACAGCCTTGGAAATCCGAGAGCCTTGGAGACCCGAGAATCCGGTGGGTGAGGAAAGAGGGTTTTGTGTAAGCATGGCGACATTGCTACTACCAGAGGGAGGGAGGAAAAGGCGCGTGCGGAAGGAGAAAGTTGGGCAAGGCAGCGAGGTGGGAAGGGAGTGAGGAAGAAGAGAGGGAGAGGAGAGAGGGAAGAAGGCGGGAGACGGGGAAAGGAACTCACCAAAGGAGGAGGGAGGTTCGAAGTGAAGGTGCTGCTGCAGACGCATAGCTCGTACCTCCCAGCCATGCTGGGTGGGTGCGTGGGGTGGGAGCACCATCCCTGCACTGCCATCCATTCTATCTCTGCCCATCATGTCTCCACGCCCCTGATCCCTGCACATGCCTGGAAGCTCCGTGCCCGACCCTGCAGGCTCGGCGCTGCCGGACGTGGCATGGGCGAGGGTGGCGGTTGACGAACCTGAGGGGCGGCAGGTTGGGAAGTTGAGGGGCGGGGGAGAGAAGGACAGAGGGACTTGGGGGTCTTGGGCTGGTAAGAAGGTGAGGGTGGGGAGGAAAGGTATACACATAGCAACACACCCAGCACCTCACAGCACCTCGCAGAACCTCGCCGCACCCAGGAGCACACCGTCTCACCGCCGTAGATGGCGTCGGAATACACGTGCCACGCGTCCATCGCGCCCTGCGTGGCGCCCTCCTCTCCCCGCGCGCCCGCCCTCGCGAAGTGGAACAGCACGCGCTCGCTGGGCGGCTGCAGCTCCTCCATCCGCCATGCCACCGCTGGGCGCCGGCAGGGGACGGCAGGGGTGGAGAGGGGTGGAGAGCGATGAACTGGGACGCACGAAGGGGGATATGTGGCAAACTGGGCTCTCTGCGGGAATTGCTGCGGACAGCGGCGTGAATGCGAAGGGCGGAAAGCGGCGAGTCGTGAGGCGCGCCTGGCGGCGTACCTCGTCGCGATGCCGCAGATGCGGCTTCTGCCAAGCGCCTCCACATCGGGGACGACTGTAACGAAACAATAGGAGCTAGCTAGAATCAGGCACAGCAACTGATAGATAAATTGTGATAAACACACCTCTTCAGAGAGTGCCATGTCGAGATGGCCGAGTTGGTCTAAGGCGCTGGATTAAGGTTCCAGTCCGAAAGGGCGTGGGTTCGAATCCCACTCTCGACATCTTGTTCTCCTAGGGTATGCCAGTCCTTTCCTGGCCAATTTTGGAGCTTGCTTCCTCCTCTGTGCTACTACCCCTCCCCCTTTTTCTGTCTCCATTTTTCTCTCTGCTTTTTTGCCGCTTGAGTTCTTGTACCCGTAGTACCACAAGGAGCTGCACCAGAGTCTCTCAATCCAGTAACCTTCAGGATGTTCCACGGTTGGCATTGCAGGACCTTGGATGAATAAAGAGCTCTACAGTTTGGAACACGTTGTTTGACAATAACAAAAATCACTGCAAGTGGGTCTACCACAACCTACACCTAGTTTAAGGATGCATAACTGCAGTGGCTGTTGGATAGAAATGGTGCATAAAGTACGCCACAAAAACCCCCACAAGAGCTCCTGCCACCACCTGCAAAAATATACCATTGTGCAAGAGATGACAGAGGTAGTCGAAAATACAATGGCTTGTAACAACGCAGCAACCAGAGGGTCAAACAGTCTGGGCATTTGGTGAGCTGTAGTGGTGTGGGTACCTGGAGCTTTGTAGTGTGCTTCATACCAGCTGGTGCCATGCAATATACATACCACTAGCTTGCATTGCTATGCACTTCATACCTGATATCCGTTTCTCGTAGATATTCAATCACTTGTCTGTAGCCTTGATAGTTAATGTGTGTACCTATTTGCAGTCATACCTGTGATGAAGTCTGCAAACTGCACACAAGCCTGTGGCTGAGTGTGGTAACAGCACTTATGGCTGTGGTAGAGTGTGGTAACCGAGTGCCTACCTGAGGTTGTGTGTGTCCAATGGGCTCCTTGAGAGGCCGGGACTCAGCCAAGGGATGGTCTGGTGGCAGCTCATATACGATCTGGTTTAGGACCTGTGGGGAGGGCAAAAAGCAGAATGGGTGATTGAGCATGGATGAGCAACTGCGTGGGTAAGATGGGGGGAGGGTGAGACAATGTGGAATGGGTACCACCAAGTGAAAGGGCCGACGTGATGTAGGATGACCATCATCTCATCCCAGACAACTGCAGTGCGTACGGAAGCAATGATCATGCTGGATCAAATGAGCAGCGACATGACCTTACAAGACCCAGTCAAAGCCACAGCATTTCCATACTTCACAATTCCCACTGTATGTGCTTCGCATAAAAACTGTTGCTTGTCTCGAGCTGTTTATATTCGCCCGGATTCAGTGGGAATTTCACGTACCTCTGCTTGCCGGCCTGCCTGAAGCCGAACCCCCGAGGCGTCATACATGACCTGCAATGCGCGAAGAAACATCCGAGAATGGCAGTCAGCGAGCAATTTCGACCTGAAACGATCTAGCGTTTCGCACTAAGCTCCCGTACCAACAAAGGGGTAACAAAACGCTTGAATGACCAGTCATGGAGACGCTCGGCACGTGAAAGTAACAGGAGAGAAGGAAGTTTTCAGGAAACATACCACGACGGCGAAAACGAGGCACGCGGCGAACAACGGGCTCGCCGTGCCTTCTTGGAAGGCCACAGCGCACGCCAGACCCATGACGGACGACGAATGCGATGAGGGCATGCCGCCGGATCCTAAGATTCGCTTGAAATCCCATCGCTTCTCCCAGTGCCTGCTCACGGTTGAAATGGAGTAGAGAGCGTAGACGGATTTGCGGAAAAAAACTGTGCCTCAATCCTATAGGGTGTACGTCATAACCAGATTTCTCAAAAGCCACGAACGAAAACGAGCTGATCCACACTTGGCGTAGGAACGTCAGCAACGAACGCGGGTTGACGCATTCGCGAACTAATCATATTGGCTAAGTGAGCCAGTGTATCGAGATATAGAATGAGGCGCCGTGGCGACGTGAACCTTTTGTTGTAGCAGTAACGAGGAAACTAAAAACTTGGTTTTAGATGATAGTCGACGCGATTGCGACGAGAGATGCTCAGACGATACCCACCATAATGTAAAAGGCTTGAGGAATTGCGCGACCCAGAGCGAGATAAAGGCAACAATCAACGGCCGGTTTTGGAATATCATCATGAATCCTTGGTGAGAGGGGAGGAGGAGGGAGAATTTTGAAGGTCCTGCCGCATCAGCAATAACAGCTACCTCTTCCATTCCGACCTATCCACTCTTAAATATAAGTCTGTGCACCCTGATTCGGTAGAGAGAACTGATCAGTCCAGCTTAATCCTGATGAAAGGCAGGCTCAAGAATCACTGGCCTTGCTCTGTTGAATCTCCTCTCCAAGTTCTAGCTAACCGTAACTCCCTGCTGCACACAGCACAACACCGACGAATCTCAAATGCTTGTTCTGTCCTCAAAGCCGTTTGCCTGCATTTTGGCTGAGCTTGTCTGTTCCTGTCATCTCCCTGATGCCTAGAGCTTGCCGCTTCCTACTTTCACCTCCCCTTTGCTCAGCGAATCTGCTCCCTGGGTTTCCTTCCTTCCGTTTCCGCCAACGGTTACTCTAAAACAATGGACCAATCGGGTTCCACAGTTTCCCAGGCGAGTTTCGTGAGGGTCTGGTGAACCGCGAAACAGGCTCGCACCGTCACTACACACAGATCGGACGGCCGCGATGGCTGCGATGGTGGCGATGTGAGCGATTGCTGGTAAACACGCTAGGCCTGTAACGCAGTCAAGGCTGTTTCCCATATCTGTTCCACCAGTATTCTCATTCATGGATATTATTAATTGGAGAAACTGAAGATCTCTACCAAACACACAATCTAATATGATGTTGCATTTATCCATCACCAAAAGACATCTGATTCTTGAAAATTCTTATGCGAATATGAGAATCAGGATGACAGGCAGACTTGTAATCATAAGTTGGTTGAAAAACTCTTTCCAATTTGCTAATATTTGTTTTTCCCAATTTCCAAGTGTATCTGCTCAGCACCGCTTCTTGTTATTTCAAATATTTATGGGTTGATCAGAGGAGCCAGCAGGTGTCAGAAGATCAGTTCCTCAGCCAAATCAACGACGAGTAACAACAAATATGCGAAGCGGAGACCTTTCGCCATCTTCGCCCATTTTGCCCAAACCTTTCCCACCTGCAGGCCAGCGTCAGAGAGTGGACCAGCTGAACCTCCAGATCTCAACCGCAGCTGCTTGCCTAGATTTTGTATCCACGGCTGAGATTCACTTCGCTCCTAGTGGTTGGATCAAGAGCTGCGAATTCAAACCATTGGGCTTGCCGCATTCCAAACTGACATGACGACTCTGCGACTCCAGATCAGACCACAATCGACGGTTCCTAGGTCACGAGGTCCAACGTTCACCAGCGAAATCCCGCGACTCCCGCCTTTGTCAACGGAATCTTGCTGAAAAACAGTCGGTGTCGTTCGTCTCGTGCATTTTTCGTTTCCTCCTGACCGGCAGATAGATGTGCCACGCGGACGATTCTCAACCAGCCACCTAAGTGACTCTCGACTCTCCCTGTCATGGACAAACATTCAGCCTGACCGGGCCAACCATTCGCAGCCGCCATCACTGTTCGTCACTGTAGACCAACGAGAACTGGCTAGGGTTGCCGTGACGAAAAACACAAAAGGTCCGAACCTACGGTTGCGATTTGAGTTACCAAAAAAGTTTCAGACAATCCAGTGATTCTGGACGGTAGATCTGAAGAGTGTTGTTGTGAGGAGAGGAGAGGAGAGGCAGTTGGTGACCCCTCCGCCTCATTCCAGCGTCACCGTCGTCTCTCGCCTCATTCTCGCCTGAGCCTCGAATTTCACAGCGCTTTCGCCTCTTGCTCTCATTTTCTCACGCTCAGCTTCTTCTGCTCGCTTTCTTAGAGCTGCTGCGACTGCGGAAAGGCGAGCTGCTGTCGAAGCTGATTTTCTAAACAAACTCAAAGGATTTGCCTTTTTGTAGAAGCCTCGTTTACGTGACGAGAAATTCGGGCGTTGGCGTCATGATGTGAAATTTGCACTGGAAACTATGGCAAAAGAAGCGATGAGCATTATTGAAGAACAAGCGCGCGGGAATGGCAAATCGGGAAAGTAAGGTAAATCTGAGTGCATATTCTTTCTCGAATACTTCGCGTATTCGAGGCTTATTTAGGATGTGCTTAAGTTTTAGCATCTAACGTGAACACTGCTTGCTAGTTGCATGTTGCAGGCTTGTTGCGGCGACATGTCATTTCAACCACCAACGCCATCTAGCTTTCTGTGCGATTTCAGCGAGAACGAGCGATTTTGTTCAGATTGGATCGCGTCTGGCAGCTCAGGTATTTCCGAAAGCCACACCCATGCAGAGAGTCAATTTCGCAAATCAAATTCGCGGAGCATGAATTCGCGAATATGTTGTCTGAATTTCTCATTTCGGTTTCGCGTTTCAATATGAGACAAAATCACCGATAGGTTTCAATTTCGTTTCAGTTTCCCGTTTCAATCCCGCGAATCAGATGGGGGTTTTAATTTCGTCGCATATCAATTTTGCATGTTGTTGTCCATCCACTGCAGGCCGCCGTGCGCCATCCGTTCCCACCCCCCCGGACGAGTGCCACGATGGTGGGTGCCTCAAGCAACTCGCGACTTGCGACTTCGGCCCACTGTCTGCCACACGCAGCGCTCTCTACGTCTCCCACCCCAAGCTATGTCCCTACCTCACCCACCCGCTGCCTCTGCTCCTGCCTTCTGCTCTGCCTGGAACGCGGACTGCCTGAAACCTTGACTGCCTGAAACCTTGACTGCCTGAAACCTTGACGGACTGAAACCTTGACGGCCTGAAACCTTGACTGCCTGAAACCTTGACTGCCTGAAACCTTGACTGCCTGAAACCTTGACGGACTGAAACCTTGACGGCCTGAAACCTTGACTGCCTGAAACCTTGACTGCCTGAAACCTTGACGGACTGAAACCTTGACGGCCTGAAACCTTGACTGCCTGAAACCTTGACTGCCTGAAACCTTGACCGACTGAAACCTTGACGACCTGAAACCTTGACTGCCTGAAACCTTGACTGCTTGAAACCTTAACGGACTGAAACCTTGACGGCCTGAAACCTTGACTGCCTGAAACCTTGACTGCCTGAAACCTTGACTGCCTGAAACCTTGACTGCCTGAAACCTTGACTGCCTGAAACCTTGACTGCCTGAAACCTTGACTGCCTGAAACCTTGACTGCCTGAAACCTTGACTGCCTGAAACTTTGACTGCCTGAAACCTTGACTGCCTAAAACTTTGACTGCCTGAAACCTTGACTGCCAGAAAACTTAACTGCCTGAAACTTTGACTGCCTGAAACCTTGACTGCCTAAAACTTTGACTGCCTGAAACCTTGACTGCCTGAAACCTTGACTGCCTGAAACCTTGACGGACTGAATCATTGACTGCCTGAATCCTTGACTGCCAGAAACCTTGACTGCCTGAAACCTTGACTGCCTAAAACTTTGACTACCGGAGACCTTGACTGCCAGAAACCTTGACTGCCTGAATCCTTGACTGCCTGAACCTTGACTACCTGAAACCTTGACTACCTGAAACCTTGACTGCATGAAACCTTGACTGCCTGAAACTTTGACTGCCTGAAACCTTGACTGCCTAAAACTTTGACTACCTGAAACCTTGACAGACTGAATCCTTGACTGCCTGAAACTTTGATTGCCTGAAACCTTGACGGACTGAATCCTTGACTGCCTGAAACCTTGACTGCCTGAAACCTTGACTGCCTGAAACCTTGACTGCCTAAAACCTTGACTACCGGAGACCTTGACTGCCAGAAACCTTGACTGCCTTAATCCTTGACTGCCTGAACCTTGACTACCTGAAACCTTGACTACCTGAAACCTTGACTGCCTGAAACCTTGACTGCCTGAAACTTTGACTGCCTGAAACCTTGACTGCCTAAAACTTTGACTACCTGAAACCTTGACAGACTGAATCCTTGACTGCCTGAAACTTTGATTGCCTGAAACCTTGACGGACTGAATCCTTGACTGCCTGAAACCTTGACAGACTGAATCCTTGACTGCCTGAAACCTTGACTGCCTGAAGCCTTGCCTGCCTGACACCTTGACTGACTGAAACCTTGACTCCCTGAAAACCTTGACGGACTGAATCTTTGAATGCCTGAAACCTTGACTGCCTGAAACCTTGACTGCCTGACACCTTGACTGCCTGAAACCTTGACTGCCTGAAACCTTGACTACCTGAAACCTTGACTGCCTGAAACCTTGACGGACTGAAACCTTGACTGCCTAAAACCTTGACTGCCTGACACCTTGAATGCCTGAAACCTTGACTGCCTGAAACCTTGACTGCCTAAAACCTTGACTGCCTGAAACCTTGACTGCCTAAAAACCTTGACAGACTGAATCCTTGAATGCCTGAAACCTTGACTACCTAAAACCTTGACTGCCTGAAACCTTGACTGCCTGAAACCTTGACGGACTGAATACTTGACTGCCTGAAACCTTAACTGCCTGAAACCTTGAATGCCTGACAACTTGATTGCCTGAAACCTTGACAGCCTGAAACCTTGACTGCCTGAAACCTTGACTGCCTGAAACCTTGACTGCCTGAAACCTTGACTGCCTGAAACCTTGACCGCCTGAAACTTTGACTGC